CAACCCCGGATGTTCACTGGGCCGCGGCCCAGGTCCTGAGCCTTACCTCCTTCTCTCTCATCCGATCTCAGAAAAGAAGGCAGCCCTTCCGTCTTCCCAGTGTGCTAATTACGGACCTGAGAAATGTTAAAAGTGCTGCTAAACAATGAAAGTAAAGCCGCCCTGGCCTGTTCCTGAACAGATCTGTGCTGTGTGCCTGCCGTTTCCTGATCAGCCTTTGGAGATTGGCAGTATTTACTGGGAAAATAAGATAGAAAGTAATTTCAGGAGGAAATGTGTTTCAGAAATAAAAGTGACGTCGCAGATTTTCAGCCACAATGATGTGACCCATTTTCTTTAAAATACACGGAGTTGTGCCCCTGGACCCAAGCCGTAATCGGTTCTGTGCTATATGTCGTTTCTCATTCATTATTGATGCCTTTTACTAAAATGCTTCACAGGATGTGACTTCGGGCCAAACTGTGAAGGAGGTTGTGTTTGCCCGACATTTACATAGGAGAGAGTGGAAATGCAGGGAGAAGGAAGGAGTATTTTTACTTTCAGCCTCAGAAATTGGGTCGTGCATACCTTGTACGAATTTGTTTACTGCTCTGAGAGCACTTTCCAAAGAACCAATGGTTTTTTGACAATGAAAGAACGATGAAAACTTCAAAGGCTGGTTCTTGACCAACAGGGCAATGCCTCAGTGAGCCTCAAACTCCTTCCCGGGATGGGACTTCAGACTAGTAAGCCTCCAGATGTCGGTCAACATGGGATCGCTTTTCTTATTAAAGAGAGAAAATATGTCTATGTCAAAAAATTTGGAGTACTGGAATCCCACTTTTATTCTGTGTTCTATTTGTGCCCATTAGGAAAGTGGAGTTTATGGCGGAGAGCTGAACAAGTAGCACTGTTCCCTCTCTGACCACTCCCCCACATACAGCACCACAACACAGCAACTGAGTTGCCTGCCCTGGTGAATTCCTAAGACTCTACCCCTTACTACCTAACAGGTGCTGCAGAGACAAAAAAAAAAAAAAATGGCCCAAATAAAAGAACAGATCAAAGCTCTGGAAAAAATACAATTAAACAAGGAAGAGGTAACCAACCTGTCAGATGCACAGTTCAAAACACTGGTAATCAGGATGCTCAGAGAATTGGTCGAGAATGGGTGCAAAATAGAGAAAAAGTGAACACTATGCAAAGTGAAATAAAGGAAAATGTACAGGGAACCAACACTGATGGGAAGGAAACTGGTACTCAACAATTTGGAGCAAAAGGAAGAAATGAACATTCAACCAGAACAGAATGAATAAACAAGAATTCAAATAAATGAGAGGCTTAGGAACCTCTGGGACAACTTTAAATGTTTCAAAATCCAAATCAAGTATGCCAGAAGAAAAAGAGGGAAAGCAAGAAGTTGAAAACTTATTTAAAAAAAATAATGAAGCAGAACTCCCCCAATCTGGCAAAGGAAATTGACTTCCAGGATGTCCAGGTAGCTCAGAGAGTCCCAAAGAATTTGGACTCAAGGAAGTACACACCAAGGCATGTCATAATTACATTACCCAAGATTAAAGAGAAGGAATCTTAAAAGTAGCAAAAGAAAGGAGATGGTTACCTACAAAGAAGTGCCCATAAGATTGTCATCTGATTTCTCAAAACAAACTTTGCAGGCAATAAGGGGCTGGAAAAAAGTATTCAAAGTCATGAAAGGCAAGGACCTACATCTAAGATTACTTTATCAAGCAAAGCAATAATTTAGAATGAAAGGGCAGATAAAGTGCTTCTCAGATAAGGTCAAGTTAAAGGAGTTCATCATCACCAAGCCCTTATTATATGAAATATTAAAGGGACTTTAAGGAAAACAAGATCAAAACTATGAACGGTAAAATGACAACAAACTCACAACTATCAGTAGCCAAACCTAAAACAAAGACAAACACGAAGTAAGCAAACAATAGAACAGGAACAGAATTACAGAAATGGAGATCACATGGAGGGTTATCAGCAAGTGCATAATCAGCAGTAGGGGAGATAAGGAAATTGGGAAAAGGTACAGGGAATAAGAAACATGAATGGTAGATAGAAAATAGACAGGGAGAGGTTAGGAATATTATAGGAAATGTAGAAGCCAGAAAACTTGTATGTACAACCCAAGGACATGAAGTAAAGCGGGAGAATGTGGGTACAAGGAGGTGTGCAGGGAGGAGGGGAGAAAAAAAATGGGACAACTGTAGTAGCATAATCAGTAAAATATATTTAAAAAACAAAAGTGGAATTTAAATGCCTTGCAGGTTTTTTTTCCTTACCAAAAAACTTAACAGTTTTTCTGTAAAGTAGCATATAAGGTAGACTTCACAGGTATGTCTGTGAGTTTTCAGCTGTAAAATGTGTCCCTAGTAGAAGTTTTATGACCAGATAATTAGTGGGAAAGGAAACTAAGTAATTTACAGATTCAGTAAATATTTGTTTTCATGTAAAAGGATGAGAAATATATTCCTTAAACTTGAATTACTCTTCAGGGGTAACCTGAAACAGCAGAACACTTTGCTATACATTTTGATTTTTAAAAAATTATTATTGTTGACTTCCGCCAAGATGGAGGCATAGGTGGATAAGCCGCGCCTTCTCACACAACCAAGTTTAGAGACAACTAAATATTAGCAACAGAAAACACAACCAGAACACACAAAATTGAACTTTTCGGAAGTCTGATAACAACAAATTCTTCAGCCTGACCGGTAAGGGGCGAAACCAGCAGCTGGTGGAGCGGGGTTGCACAGGAAAACCCGGTCAGACGGACTCAGGCACGTGGAATCCAGGCGCAGGGTTGGACCTAGTGAGCGACCGAGTGAGCGACCAAGTGAGCAACCTCGGAGAAACAGCGAGGGAGCAGGGCTTCGGGTTGACTGTGGTCGTGCATTGGTGCGCTGATAGACAAGCAAGGGAGTGGGCGTTTGGACCAGGACCCAGCTCGTCCCCGCAGCCAGCAGCAGGGAGGGCGCCGCCATTTCCCTGCTCTGACCCCACCTCCACAAGCAGCATCATAACCCAGCGACTCTGAGTGGCCCGGCCCAGGTGAACCACCTAAGCCTCTGCTCCTTACCCAGCTGCGAGAAATTGCAGAGGGGGCTGCCATTTTCCCGCTCTGACCACACCCCCACATACAGCGTCACAACCCAGCGACTTGGTAGTCCAAGGCTCCGCTCACACTTAAAGGGCGTGAACAGACCAAAAATGGCTCAAGAAGATCTCAAAAGCCCCAGAGCCTATAAATCTAAGCGATGAAGAAATAGCAAAACTCTCAGACGCACAGTTTAAAACACTGGTGATCAGGATCCTTACAGAACTGGTTGATTATAGCCACAAATTAGACAAACATATGAAGGCAAAACTAATTGAAATGAATGGAATTGCACAGGACACCAATAGCAATTAAAAGGAAACTGGGACTCAAATCAGTGGAGTGGACCAGAAGAAAGCAAATAATGGCCAAACAGAAAAGAGTCAAGAAGCAAGAATTCAAAGAAATGAGGAGAGTCTTAGGAACCTCCAGGACATCTTTAAACGCTCCAACATCCGAATTATAGGGGTACCAGAAGGGGGAAAGGCACAGCCACCAGTGGAAAACTTATTTGAACAAATAATAAAGGAGAATTTCCCCAATCTGGCAAAGGAAATAGACTTCCAGGAAATCCAGGAAGCTCAGAGAATACCAAAGAAGTTGGACCCAAGAAGAAACACACCAAGGCACATCATCATTACATTAGCCAAAATTAAAATGAAGGAGAGAATCCTAGAAGCAGCAAGAGCTAAGGGGACAGTCACCTACAAAGGAGTCCCCATCAGACTGTCAGCAGATTTCTCAAAAGAGACCTTACAGGCCAGAAGGGGCTGGAAAGAGGTATTCCAAGTCATGAAATCCAAAGACCTACAACCAAGATTGCTCTATCCAGCAAAACTTTCATTTAGAATGGAAGGACAGATAAAGTGCTTCTCAGATAAGATCAAATTCAAGGAGTTCATCATCACCAAGCCCTTATTATATGAAATGTTAAAGGGACTTATCTAAGAAAAAAAGTTAAAGAAACATGAACAGTGAAAGGACAACAAACTCACAGTTATGAACAACCACACCTAAAACAAAAGCAAACTAAAAGGACAGCTAGATCAGGAGTGGAAACATAGAAATGAAGATCTCAAGGAGGGTTAGCAACAGGGGAGTGGGAGGAGGAGAAGGGGGGAGAAGGTACATAAAATAAGTAGCATAGACAGTAGATAGAAAATAGATGGGGGGGCAAGAATAGCATGGGAAATATAGAATCTAAAGAACTTGAGACACATGGACATAAACTAAAGGGGGGGTAATGGTGGGGACAGGGGGTAGGGTGGAGGGGAATCAAGGGGGGAATAGAACAATTGTAACAGCATAATCAATAAAAAATTAATTTAAAAAATAAAAAAAATTATTATTGTCATAGAAAAGATAAAAATGAAACCTTAAGAATAGCCAGGAACTTTAGAAGGACTTTATTAAATAAAGACAGTATGATAGAAATGTACCTAGTACCTAGAACAGAGCAGGTATTTAATAAACAGTGCTGGATTTTTTTTTTACTCAAATTATTCTATTTGTGGTGTAAAACCAGATTTGAAATTCTAAATCATATATTTGGGGTGACAGAAGTGTTCTAAAGTGTAATGGTTGCATAACTCAGTAAATAGACTAAAAACCATTCAATTGACTCTATAAATGACTGATTTGTATGTTACGTGAATTATATCTTAAAACATGTACCAAAAGAATTCTAGGTTATTAGAGAGCTTTAAAGGTAAAATGGCAGTGATATTTAACTGCTGACATTTGCTAATTTGTTTTTGTTATCTAATTCCAACACAATATCAAATATCCTGATGAGTTGGTGTTGAACCCCGTTGGTAGGATGGTTTACTAACTTTTTATTGCTGGGCCTTTGTTTTAAAGGTCTGGTTGCTGAGACATTCAGCGACAGGAAGAGATGAGCGACCCCAGGCAGCAGTCGCTGTTCTTCGTCACAGTCCCAGATTTGCAGAGACTCTGTGCTGTCAGAGTGACACTGCGCCACTCGGGGGCAGATGCTGAGGTCAGGAGCACACAGCTGAAGATGTGCAGGTGAGAAACACATCCTACTAGGACACTTCCCAAAGTTTCTGAGACCTGTAAGAGCTGTTTTAAAACAAAATACTCATTCACTCATTCTGTGTATAATTGTGAAACAAATTCAGTTTTGTTCTGTGCAGGTCCAGAGGGTTACATTTAGGGAAGGACTTAAAATACTTTAAGTATTTAAAGTCTCACTCTCGAGTCGTTATATTTATGACTTTGTGTGTGAACTTTTTAAAAAAGATTTCATTTATTTATTTTTGGACAGAGGGGAAAGAGAAAGAGAGGGAGGGAAACCACATCAGTGTGTGGTTGCCTCTCTCATGCCCCCTACTGGAGACCTGGCCTGCAACCCAGGCATGTGCCCTGAGTGGGCATCGAACTGGTGACCCTTTGGTTCACAGGCCGGGGCACAATCCATTGAGCCACACTAGCCAGGTTGTGTGAACTTTTTAATTTAAAATTTTTATAGACATTGATGTATTAAATCAGGCTCCCCAAAACTTAGAAGTAGTAATTAATAAATACTGAGTACCTTCTGTTTATGAGGCACTTTAAGAGATACCATGAACATTTTAGATTAATACAATTTATTAACATTCGGGTCAGTATACGAGTATTTCTGAAAAGTATTTTTCCAAGAACACCGTTGAAATGCCCATTCCAAGACGGTCTTTGAAAGCAGCTGAGCTGAGGGCCCACCATGTGGTAGTCCCTTACCTGGTCTGAGGGGTCAGAGGGAGACTCTTGAGAACAGGTGGTGGGGTTCTGTCTGTAGCTGAATTCCTTGGAGATGAACAAACAATTCTGAGACTGCTAGGAGTCAGAAATAAGAAAGACACTTGGGTGTCCTCCATTTTCTCTTATTCACAAAGATTTTTTCCGCCCATTATACATATTTCCACCCAGGGGCACCCAGAAAGCTGTACCCTTCCTGCTAACGTGCAGCGTGATAGCAGTTTCCTGTGACCCCTTTGGGAGACGCATAGATAGAAAACTGAATGTGAGGTTTTCTGCTGCTTGCTGTCACATAGAAGGAGACCATGGCCACAGAGCGGGGTGTAGTCACCCGGTCACTGAGAGGCTGAGACAAAGGCAGGCCCCGCAGAACCAAGTACTCACCTCGCCAGGGTTCTGAAGAAAGAGGAGGCCGCCGGGAGCTGTTTATACTCTCCCTTTTGATGTAGCCCCCACAAATTCTCATGGTTCTTAAAATGTGTTTCCTTTACGATGAGTAATTTGGAAAATTTTTATATTTCCAATTCTATTCCTTTTTGTGTTTTTCCCACCTTCTTCTTGATCTTTGAAGCAAAATTATTGATGATAATTTCAATTGTGGTCATTTTTGTTCTAAGTTCATTTGGCCGCTGAATGCTAGACTAAAACCATTAATGTCATTCTGGCTTGGAAAAAATTCATTTTTGCAGGAAACGAATCTAGTCAATAATTCTAACATTGAAGTAGTTGATAACTTTACTGATAGTTGAATCATTACACTGCCCTCCCCCATTCCCCCAAGCACGTAAAAAACAAAGGAAAATGGAAGAAACTGCAGTTAGATGGATTCTTCGGTATCAAGACTTCTTCAAATCTATAGCTAGGGTGGAAATGGGTGTTTGAAAGAGGAATTCTCATTCACAGATGAAAGAGGTTAGGACATTCAGGGACAAGTTAACATATTAATATCATGTCTAAACTTCTATAATTCTATTAATTCAAATCTTGGCTGAGTGCCTACAGTGTGCAAGGTACTGTGTGCTAAGCATAGAGAGAGATACAGAAATCTGTAGCACAATCTTTGCCTAGAAGAGACTTAAATTTTCCATTAGATGATTGATCTCATTAGATGATCAGTAAAGAATGATTTTTTTATTGATTGATTTTAGAGAGAGGGAGAAAGAGAAAGAGAGAGACAAACGTTGATTTGTTGTTCCATTTACTTGTGCACTCATTGGTTGATTCTTGTACGTGCCCTGAGTAGCAAACGCACAACCTGGGCGTATCGGGGCAATACTGCAAGCAACTGAGCTACCCAGCCAGGGCCGGAACCAAGTGATTTTTAAATGTTCTGATAGAGTAAAAACAGAGAGTGGGCAAGTCCACTTTAAAGTTAATACCTTTCGTCTCCACAGGCAATTGCTGTTTTTACACCAAGATACTCTTGCATCACCTGTGCCTGGAATATTTAGCCAAATTTGGGTGGTGATGGCGGTTAGTATTTCAACATTTTATAAAGTATTAGTACTACTTACTTTAGGCAATACTGGTCCACAGTAATTCAAGTACTACTTATAGCTCAAATTAAAGATGGTTTATGAAGATAAGTTACACTGTTTTGTAGTTTGATTGAACCATTAACAGACTTTAACTTCGATATACCTGATGTTTAAAATTCATTTTTGTGGTTCTAATATTTAGTTTTCTGTGTCATAAATGTTAAGATAAAGAGTAGGAATATTATAGCCAAATTTTTGAAGATATAATCTTTTTCTCATATTTCATTTTTAGAATTACACTTAATAAAAAGGAAGTTCTCATTCCAAAAAATCTCTAATTGCTTTTGAAGAATTTAGATCAACATATTTTTTAATTTGGAAATTTAATTTTTACAGTTAGTAAAAATTATATTTCCCAGTGCTGTATATAACTGGAAATGATAATAAAGTACCAAAAATCTTTATAAAAATGATACTATCCCAAGATTTTTGTTAAAAATCTTTCTGAAAATCCTTTTACTCTCAGATTTTAATTCCCCCAAATCCAGTGAAATCAACATTTATTAACAGTCCTAATAAGCCATACAGATTATTCAGGTCTTTTCTTTTTCTTCTGGGTTATATGGCTATATGTCCAACTTTTTCTTCTCATCCTTAATATAGTTGTTAAGAAGAACAAACTATTGGTGAACAAGTAGATACTAATATCTCTTAATTGTGCTTTTTTCTACCTGAAAAATTTATGAAACAAAGAGGAGATTATTTTAGAGTTCTAATAAATTCAAATATTCTAATCTTAGAATAGCCATCTGAAAAATGTTTTGCTTTTTTACAAGTATATTACATGTTATAAAAAATTACAAAAATATTTAAAATGGAATTATTGGGCATACTATTTTGAAACTTGCCTTTCACTTCCTAATGCACATCTGGAATTTCTAATGTTGTGCTCTTGCAAACAGTGCTTCGGAAAGCATCACTGAAATGATATCATTTGCATTTTTCTGGTAGTTTCTATGGGTTGAATTCTTAGAACTGAGACTGCAGCACATTTTAACTATAATCTGGATACTGTGAAATTGCTCTCTGAAAAGATGTGCTAGATTACATTTTAACAAACCGTGTTTGAAAACTTCTGTATTTCCACGTGCCCACAGACACTGGGTATCTGCAGACTTCCATATCTGCCAGTCTTCCAGGTCACCAACACAGTCTGTTGATTTTTATGGCTTTCGTGGGTGAGCTGGATGCCTTGGCCGTGTGAACTTTTGCTTCATCTCCCACTTATGTCCCTTTCCTTGTGAATGTCTGAAAATATACTATATATAAAGAAACATATTAATATTTATTGTATATGAAACTTACTGGCCTCTTTTGTCATATGGTTTCTGGGTTCCTGCCACCCCCAGAAAGGCTTTCCTCCCTGGAAGGGAACGCACCCTCACATGTATTTCAGGGGGAGGTTGGCATCTCCGAGGTGCAGGGGCTGTTGGGGAGACGTCCAATTCTGTGCATTCTGCTACAGAGCCTTTAAAGTCTTTTAGCTATTGCTTTATATAATAACACATCTCTTAAGTCATTTTTATGTGTGGATTTTTGTTATAGATACCATTTTATAAGGCTGGAAAACTTAATACCTATCTTGAAAAATATGGAGCTAAGGTAAGTGTTTAAAAAGATGTAATTCCAGATGTTTTTTATATTGATTTTGTATTCAACTTTTTTTCTCAGCCAACAAAAACTGGAGTATCTTTCTCATAAGTGCAAGCGAAAGAGCAGAACGATGGCTTTCATGTAGTAGAGACAGAGGGGAAGGGACTTAATTTTGCTGGGTAACAACTTGTGGGCGTTTTACCTGGCATAATCTTACTGATCGTATGTAGCTGCCCAGGAGCGAATAATCTCATTGTACAGATGAAGGAAAACCCTGAGAGATAAAAATACAGTTCGTAACAATATGGCTAATAAGTGGAGGCACAGAACAGTCTAAATCGCATTCATGGTGATGATCTATGGATCTTAGCAAGGGAAATAGGATTACGTGGGTCGGGCACCTTGTGTGTCCTGGTTACTCAGGCCAAGGAGATGTGGCTGGTGCTCACGTCATGTCTCCACACGTCTCTCTGAGGCACTGCACCCCCAGTTATGCCAGCGGGCCAACCTGCCGAGGTCTGGGGAATGAGGCTGCCAGGCCTCTCCAAGATGAGGTGTGTGCTTTAGGATCTAGGAGGAGGATGAGGTCTCCCCGGCCCCGGAGTGTCTCTGAACCACCAGGCAGCAGGTCCAGCCACCAGTCACGGTCTGCGGGGAGGGCGGTGTTCTTCAGGAACCGTGGGGAAGGGCGTTAGTGTCGTCTTTGTGCTCAGACAAGTCTGAACTGTGAAAACCCAATTCACGGGGTATCTTTCACCTAGAACTGGAAACTAGGTCTTTCAGGGATCTCTACAAAACTGTCCTTTATCGTGACAAGTGTCTCTGTTTAGTGGAGATCCCTTTGCTGTCTAACTGGCTGCTCATGGAGAATTTAATTTTATTAATGTATTGACTTCAAGGTCAAAATTGTGCTTTTTTTGACAAGTTTGTCACAAAACTAATAGATATGATATGATTTTAGAGATAAATTCTAAAGGTTAAAAGTTATTTTTAGCATAAGAATAGATCACATGTGAGTACTGAGTTAGTAAAAGAATATTTATACCAAATATATATATCTTAAGATCACAAGAAAAAATTTAAAAATTAAGAAACATAGCTTCTGTGCTCATTATACACTAATAAAAACACACTTTATGAAGTATTGTTTCCAGTGTTTTACTTCACACCTTTGGCCTCATCACTGCAAGTTGTCCAAATTCTTTCTGTTTGTGCTCTCACCCTTTTCCCACTTACCCCAGTTCCCCATTGTTACTAAGTGAACTTGCTCTGTCCCCTTCCCCGGGCTTCCAGATCCCAAAAGTCTTGAAACTCATAAGCTTTCTCCCAGCCTAACTTTCTTACCCTCTTGGGCCTTCATGTTTCTGCTCAATTTTTCTCTTTATGGATACTTTCTGGATAATAGTCATTGTAGCCAGTAGGTATTTATTGAACATCTATTATATGCTGAGCATCCTACTTGCTTCTGGAGTTGAAGCCATGAACCAGATAAATTCCCTGCCCACAGGAAAAAGTTTTCTCCTTTTTAAAAAGTTTCTGGAGTTTATGTAGAATTTTTATTATTCCTTCTACAAATGTTTGGTAGAATTCACCAATCAAGTCATCTGGGCCTGGAGTTATTCATAAAGGAAGGATTTTACAATTTGGTTTCTTGAATAGATAATAGAGATATTCCAGTCGTCTGTTTCAAGGACTGTGTCCCTTTCATCTCAGCCGTCAGACCGATGACACGAACTCACTTGTAGTGTTGCCTGGTTTCCCTCGGCTGTGGAGCTTGTAGTGATGTCTCCTCTCTCGTTCTACTTACTGGTGGCGTGCACCTCTCCTCCTGCCTTACCAGTCTGGCTGGAGGCTTCACAGTCCTGTAGGTGTCAAAAAACAGCTTTGGTCTCATTGCTTTTTCTTTGTTTTTTATTTCATTGATTTTCGTTTTGGCCTCTATTATTTCTTTTCTTATGTTTATTGTGGATTTATTTCTGTTGTATTTTCTTTATGGGGAGATGCAAACACAAAACGTGATCCCATGCAGGGGTGTTGAGAGTACCTTCGGGAATAACCAGCAATAGGCATCAGATGTAACAGGAGGCTAAGCTGGATCTAGGCAAGAGAGCACATCGCAGAAAGCGCCCGGGGCTATCTAGCCCCATGGCCAGGGCAGGCTGCCCCCGGCCCTTGCACAAAACATGAAGCCTCGCCCAAGGCCACGATGTCATTTAATTTATGCTTGCTGTGTTCAGTTACCAAGCCCTCCCTCCCTACCTTCTTATCCAAGCCCTTCCCCACAGTAGGAGGCTGACCCTGCTCCATAGGATGAGCTCCAGTAAGGCCAGGGCGCATCTGCTTCTGTTCACTCAGCACAAAAAATAAATGATGCTTATTTTCTTTTCTACCTTTTTAAGGTGGAAGTTGAGGTCACTGATTTGAGAACTTTTTCTTTTCCAATGTAGGCACACTTAAGCACTATAAATTTCCTCATAACTATGTTTTGCTTTCATTTTCCTCAGTTCAAAATACTTTCTAATTCCCCTTTGATTTCTTTGATCCATAGGTTAGTTAGAAATGTATTATGCAGTTTCCGCCACTTGGGGCTATTCTAGAGTTTTTTAAAAAATCTTCACCTGAGGATATGTTTATCGATTTGAGAGAGGGGAGGGGACAGAGAGAGACATCAAGTCAGTTGCCTCCCAGGCGTGCTGGGCAGAGGTGAACCATAGCCTTCGGTGTAGGGACAACACTACAGCCACTGAGCCACCTGGCTGGGGCCAGAGAACTTTCTGTTACTGTCCTCTAATTTAACTGTGGCTAGAGCACATGTTTTGTATGACTTGAACATTTTAGAATTTACTGAGGCTTGTTTTATGGCCCAGAATATGGTCTGCCTTGGAAAATGATTTTTGTCCCCTTGAGACGAAGGTACAATTGTGCTCTTGTGTCACGTAGTCTACAGATGTAATTGGTCACAGAAGTTGAAAGTGTTGAGGTTCTGGATTCTCACTTCCTGTCTACCTGTTTTATCAAATATTGAGAAAGTACGGTACAGGATTTGCCCGAAACTGCAGCAGACGGGGTCCGTGAGACCACCTTCGCCCTGGAGGGCATCCAGGGCGCCAGGCAGGATGTTTATGAATGGTGGAACCGCCCTCACCTTCCTCCTGGTGTGCCAGGGCCGTTGTGAGCCCATACCTCCTGCTGAACCTGGGTTGAAGTTGGCTTCCTAAGGCTGATCCTGGCAGTTGAAGGGATTCGTTCAGCTGCCTGGGCCCTGGACCCCAGACCCCGGGGGCACGTGTGAAGTCAACATTGTAGCTTGGCACGCCCTGCTGCTTACAGTCCTGGTGACAGGAGCCCTAATTTCCCTTGAGAGAGAGGAACAGATTTGGTCCTGTCCCCACCAACAGATTACTTACTTGCATCCTGGGAAATTCACCAGAAGCCCAAATGGTATGAAAACGAGGGGGATGATGTTGGGAGACAGTTCTCCTGGGCACCATCACTTTTCTGCATGTCCCACCAACAGAGGCACACGCAGCATTTTCCTCTGGACTGTGTTTGCACTGACGTGCAGAGAACACAGCCTTGGCTCTCTCCCCAGCTCAGAGGGGCTTCCTCACTAGGAGTGCTAACCCGTACTCTCAAGGGGCTCCGTGGTCTCCGAGTCTGCTCTCTGCTGCTGTCTCATCTCCAACTCTTTGTCCGCCAGACTCTACCGCCCTTGTTGCCCTGGAATATCAGCTCTGTGCCCTCAACCCAGGGAGTCCCCCAGCTATTCCAGGACCCCCACACCCTGACATTGCACCTGGAAACCCTCTTTGGTCAGTGTGCTGGTTTCTGTCTCTTAGGGACCGCTCTTCTTTGTGGCTTGATGTCTAGTGTCCTGTGAACTGTTGTTTCACATGATTTGCCCAGTTTTTAGTTGTGTGTCTGGTGGGAGGGGTAGTCTGCATCCTGTTAGTCTCATTGGTCAGAAGTCCTACTTCTAAAAAACTCTCTACAAGGAGAGATGCTTATTGCTGGTACCCGGGGAAGCATCTCGGTCTCAGGTGCAGAACTGGACAGCGTGAGCAGTAATGAGAACCGCCGCAGTGTGGTCCTGGTCGGTGTCTTCCGTGCACAGCAGAGTGAAGTGCGGGGCCTAGCGCAGGCACTCTGAAGGTTCGGGCTCCGGGTCAGGACGAGCAGGCGGAGTCGGGCTGTCACAGCCTGACAGCTGCCATGGCTTCAGAGTGAAAACAGTTCAACGCTCTTAACCTTAGGACCAGGCAGGGTTGTGGTGACCATGACAATGACGCAGCTGACATCAGAGCAGCCCGGTGCAGACAGTTCCCATGAATCTGTAGGGACACACTGATTGCTGCGATTTGCTCATCTTTTGTCCTTTAACCTTTTTAGGCAGAGGCACCTCAAAGAGTAATTCCTGTAATTCTTCAAAACTGCCTCTCGTACTCACTCACGGCCAGACTTGCTCCAGCCTGGAATAAGACCGGCCATCTCCTGGTGCAAGGTGACTTTGTCTCTTTCAGCCATTGTGACTTACTGAGACAGGTTACTCCTGTTATGTGAGTCCACTCAGGACATAGTCACTAAAGCATAGCCCCAGCCAGGCATTCGCAGGCAGGCCCATAGCAACGCAGACGTCATCTCCGTGCTTGGGGGTTATATCCAGAGGCCTGCTCTTGTTTCTTTACAGAAAATAGGTTTATTATGTAATATTTGATGCTTAGAAGAAAAAGATAATAACTGATGAGAATTACTATAAAATAAACAGAAATTACTAATATTGCTGGAACCAAAATGGTATTGAGTTTTATGTTGAGGTCTGACCATTTCCTAAGCATTTTATACTACAAAATAAATATTTGAGGGTATAATAAGGTATTTTTATCCTTTAAATTGAGGAGATAATTTTTGAATGATTATATTTTTTATGTGAGCTGACATTTCTTTGTATAAAACTGCATTTTAAAGCATTTTCCTTAACTTTGATAATTTCACATAAAAAGGTTGTATGTATCAAGCATGATTTATGGGTTATAATAATATGATGTATCTTATCAATTTTTTAAGGAAGAGAGTTTCTTTCTCAGATGGGAAAGCAAAATGCTGTTGGTAAGTAAAAATGCTTAAGTGAATAGATGAAACATTAAACAGTTGTTAAACAGCAGTACAGATTGTTGAGTTGTTACAATCGCGGTGATTAGGTCATATCAGAATTCAAACAGGTGTTATTATAATCACAATTTCACCTGGGAAAGTCACCTCTGATTCAAAGTACACAGCCTACCTCATTGAGAAAAATTCATTTCTCACAATATGAATAAAAGTTATAATTTATTTCTTAAAAAATTATGACTATGAAGGAGTTTAATTCTTATAGCCACTTACAATGGGTAGTTTCCAGTAAAAGCTTTATTTCTTAGGCGAACATGATTCTTCTCTTTAAAAAAAAGTCTAAAAACATACATCTGATCTAAAATGACAGTGTGTGATACGGTCTAGTCTAATTCAGCGACACGGCTGCATTTTGCAGGCAGACAATCTCCTAAACAGTCGTCCCCAGAGAGCAGACATGACCAATCAGTCCCGCAGCCTTCCCCACCCTTGGGGCACAGCCCTAACCCCTAGGGGGACATCTGTAGTCCGCAGCTCTTTGATTTCAGGGGCCCTCCTTATACTGGTTCCTGCTTGAGTTGGACAGCGGCCCTCCCAGTACTTTAGCTATGGGCTAGCAGCTCACAACTGCGTTCAGTGTCATCCATGAGTACCAGCAGGGGACGACAGCTGGCAAAGATAACAGTTTATTAAAGATAACAGTATAGGAGAGCAAAGTCCTCCACTTCTGTGTTAGGATTGTGTCCTTTAGTTTACTGAGTGTAATATTCTACAGTGAGACTGACAAATTGGAAGTGCAGAGCTCATTGGATTTTCCCAAACTAAAATTACCCTAAGACCCGTTCTCAGGCCAAGAAACAGAACACTACCAGTACCCCACAGCCCCTCCTGCTTTGTTCTAGGTGTTACCCCTTCCCAAGGTGACCATATTTGACTTCGGCAAGTGCTGTTAATTAAGAGAAAGCAGGCAGAAGCCTTGAGACACTATCAGATGCAGAGGAGCCCTCCAGGGCACCTGAGGGCATTGTTAGGAAAAGACCATTGGGGTCAGAGTCCAGCGGCACCTCCCGATTTAAGGAGACAGTCTCCATTTTCCACACAGAATAGGTGTCAGACTTGTGCAAGGAACTCATGCAGTTTTCCTCTCAACTGTGGGACCTCATTTCCCTTACTGCAAGCCTGCCTGTGACACCCCCACCACAAACACCCACCACACCCCCCGCACACCCCCGCACACCCGTGCACACCCCCGCACAGCCACACTGTTTCAGCCTCGGTCTTTCAGAGGCCTCAGCTGCCACTGCCAGACACAATGCAGGGCCGCCTGTCACCATGCATGGGGAACTGTCCACTCTTACCCACGTTTCCAACTTGAATAGATTCAGTTTATTCTTTTGTTAATTTGTTAACTACTGAAGTAGTTAATTTGATTGGATGGAGTAGTAATCCCAGAAAATTTACAATTACGTATTTTATTTTCAGTATTAGACATCAATGTAACAGAGACCCAAGTTTGTCTGAGTATAGAAGCTTATACGATCAGACTGCCGCCACCTGAGGTACCATGGATTTTTATTTCTACAAGTAACTATTATATGTGCTAGATACTTAGTATACTTCCTGTTATTATGCACATGCTAGCAGGTTTTAAGTTTTAATAAGGAGAGTGATAAGATTTTTTAATTTTCACAATCCGTATTAAATTCTTGATATATTGGTGTTATTCTTAGTCTGTTTACCCAAAGAAATTATTGTCAGCTCAGCACAGATCCAGTCATGTTATTCCCCTGCTGAGAAACCTTTGCAGTGGCCTTCAGGACTCCCCGCTACCCCTGACCACAACAGGGACACATAACACTTCCTGCCTTCTTAGGAGAAGGACGTGTCTTTTATTTTGCTATTCTTGTAGCACCCAAGTACATGGCCTCACTGGTTTCATCTTCAGAAAGCATTCTCAGTTTTGGTCTCTATTGTACTTATTGTAACAGACACATAGTCACACTCGTTATTACTGAAAAAGATGGACAAGATCACTGGGAGGAGGTGGCCTGTCTGCACCCTGGAACGAGGCGGCTGACCCACCTGTGAGTGATGGTGCGGAACCCACGGGCTCCCAGAGTGACCGAGGGTGCGTAGCGCACTCACTGCCCACAGGCCAGCTCCCACGGGGAAGAGGAAGGAGCTCTCCTGGCTTTGCCCACCAGATAAATCGCCTCACCTGCTTTATTTTAAGCAACAGGTGTCGCATAGCGACATCAGGACAGTAGAGCTCCTGTCAGCAGGGGGAAACCCCAGAAATGAGGGGGTGCTCCGCTTTCTCTTTCCTGCCCATCGCCGCACATTCGGCACGTGCTCATTTAGTTCATTTAAGTTCATTCCCTCCATCGTCCTCCGTCATTAGCCCCTCTCAATCTCACCTTACTTACCTGGTCGACAGGGCGTTGCCAGGTCCCGACTGCTGGAGCAGTGGATTCATGCGTGTCTGTGAAGCAGTGCAGGATGGGAGGTTTGCGTGGGCGACAGGAGGGACAGCAGGAAACACTTGCAGGCATGTAGAGGAGAGACAGCGTGAGCCAGAACACTGACCACGTCACGGGAAGTGGTTGGTCCAGCATAACCGCAGCCTTCAAAATCATAGCTGGCTATGTGCACGGGGCTTTAATGTTTCTTTTTGTTTGCAAATTCTTTTGAGGACTCATGCATTAAAATCTTATTTCTATTAAAAGCTACAAGAATTTGGTATTTCTCAAAGTGTTATAAAGGACTTTGATACTCACAAGAATGCTGTCATTGAGGGACATTCGATTTTAAGCAACGAGTGCTACGTTCTGCCAAGGTGAGAGTTCGGTCTGCATTATTCAGAGGAGGCATGTGATGTATCATTTTCCTCTAATTTTGCTTCAGCACTGACATGTGCGAAAGCAGGAACCATTTTGTGAATTTCTGAATTATAATTAATTTCTGAAACTGAATTATAACTTTAAAGAGACATCACAAGTATATTCTTATACCTACAGAAGCCATCAGTTCCGTGTATCAGGTGACTAAAATAATTTTATTGTATATTAAATATATAATTTATAATACATTTTTATTAGATCTATTTTTAAAGTAAAATTTCTAGATATCTCATGAGATTAAAACTATTACAACATTCTCAATGTAACCTTGAGAGCTTTTACATATAATTAATAACTCATTATTATTTAAAGTCAGTTAAGTTTGTACTATATTCAGAAAAAATAGCTTATTATTAATATGAATAGGACTAGTGGGATGAAATTTTAACTCACTTTATGAAAAATAATGTTAGCAAGCATACACATAATAATTTTATCATTCAGGAAAGCCTAGATGGGAAATACAAATTTAACTCATAATTATTCAACTCAAACTTTTCTCTAAAGTCTAACAATTACCAGGCATATCTATTTGTGGCAACATTAGTCATTATTTTGTGTTTATAAGTGGCATATTGTTTGCATCAATTCAATTTAGTTTTTCCTAACAATTCTAGCTGAAATTTAAACACAGCGTATGCTTGGAACGAGGAGCCAGTGGTTATTGCTTACGTGTTGGTAGTTGCGAAGTCTTCTTGAGCACTGTCTAAATGGCATGGTTAAATCACACCTCAGCCTCGGCTCATGCTGCCCCACCGCTCTTGCCTCTCACAGCATGAAAACGGGACAGATACTCAGCATCCTTCGTGCCGCACCTCCCGACTGCCCTTTTCACTCATACACAGACTTCCAGACGCACTGGGATGACCTGGTGAGGGACAGAGACCCATGCACGGGTTACCTGGTTTGGCTTCTTATAGCGTAATCTAAGTTTGGCTTTCTCTTCAGAGAATTTCAGCTTTGCTCTTCGTTTTCAGTACGGCTATAAACTTCCCGAAGACCCCGGAGGTGCCGAAGTGTACTGCAGCGTCCACTTCAGGATGCTGGGAGGGAGGACCTTTACATATCCTTTACACGCGGCCGGGGGCAGCTGCTCCCCGCCTCCCGGCCTGGCCTCTCCGCCCTGGTGTCCACACACTGTCACCTTCTCTGTGTCCGGATGCAACCGCTCCTCTCTCTGCTCCTTTTTATCTGCATGAGTTTTGTTTCTCTCAGCATCTTTCCATTTTTATTTGAGCATGAGCTTCATAAACGCATTTTCTTCCCTTAAACATGACTGCCACAATTTAGACAGCGAGGGAACTGTACGGTAGGTAGGAAAAGCGCTCACCTGCTTTCTAGTAGACAGGAAGCAAACAATCATGGATTCTCCTTAGCCAAGGGCTCCCTCCAGTGGTATTTTGGTACTTCTGAAAGGGAGGAGTTAGAGTTAGTTGGACAAAGAATTTTATTTTTGGAAAATTGTTTTACAGGCAAAATTCAGAGGGCTTGGCTTGTACTTGATGTACTCCACAGACTTAAGAAAACATCTTAAGATTATTTTAAAAGTCTGCACATGAAAGAGCCCAGGTGAAGAGCTCGGGTGAAACTCTTCAGGCTGCATCCTGACCCTGCGGTCCCTGTCCTTTTGTGCTGTCACCACTGGCTTTCACAGGGAGAGAGAGGGGGGCCACAGTGTTCTCTCTCTGCCCTGTTTCCTAACCCAAATGTTAATGTAAAAGGAGAGTGGACAGATACAGGTTTCAGTCATTCCCTTTCGTTAGATGACAAGTCATTATTCCAAATCTTCAGAAGAGTCTTCATCAGAAAAGTAACCGCTGTTTCCCGAGAACTGCTCCTGGACCCTCGGGAAAACCTGCCCTCGCTGTTCCTCTGTCCTGATCCCTCACGGCCTCCTGGAGACGCAGCCGCTTAGTGTTGACTGCAAACACTTTTACAGTCTATACAGGTCGTAGTGTCTTTCTTATAAATCAGTTTGGGACTGTCGTCATTGGCCAGTCTGTATAGAGAGCCATCTCCTAAGGAGACAGTGAATTGTCTCAATTGTGAGTATTAAACCAGAAGTAAATAATATTATTCCTGTGAGGAAACGTGCTTTTTTAGCTTTGGATTGTAAACTTGGAATGAGTTAGCTTGGAATAATAAGTAATATGTAAAATACTTAGGATTTAGGCTGCGCCCTTTCCAGCAGTTACTGTTTCACTTTTTCTCAGTCCGTAAAGATGTCCCACTGATCTTTAACGCCGCTCACTTACCCTCTCCGCTGCGTCAGGAGTCAGCCCGTGCAGTTCTTCCCGAGGGTAGACTTGGAAGGTGTGTTGAAAAGCTTTCTTTCAGATCTAAAGTCCGAATTGCCCCATATCTGTGGATTTCCCATTAAGATGACGACAAAATCGTGCTACCACACGCCAGAACTCACTAAACCACATATACAGGTAAGAGACCCGTGTCCCGTCCAGTCCCCTGAGACATGTCGACTCAGGCCTCAGTGCAGTGCTTCCCGTTGGCTGTTAGTGGACTTAACCGTTTGTCACTGCCGTCGGTTATTATCACTGCAGGTGCTCAGTGAGCGCTCATCGGCGTAGTTCACCGGTCTGCTTAGTGGGAGCCCCTGGCCTGGGGCCCATGTCCGTCTCCGCATCCCGAGCACCTGGGACAGCAGAGTTCATTAAGTTTATAAGTGAAGGGGTGACCTCACAGGGTAGTTGGGAAACATTTGCCTCATACAAACCCAACTTGACTTTGAACTTCTGCCACTTCGTTTGAGTCTGAGTGATTGAAAAAGGCTTTGAGTGATTTCGCTTATAGAGATTAAATTATTTCAATACCATTTTCATTGTAAGATGATGTGCTAAGTGAAATCTTATCTATTAAGAGGAAGTAGAAATTAAGTAATACTGATAAAGAAAATATGATGGCCTATCCTCACACTCACTAGAATAAGGTATTTTTGTTTAAAAAAAAACAAAATTAAGAGGAAAGTTTTTAAAGAACAAGTCTAAGGAAGTTAATTTAAAATTTTCAACAGTGGTCTTTCTTTGGAATGACACATAGTTAACATATTTTCATCAAAGAAAAGACAAAAGTTAGAACAACTGGAACAGTTTGAACTATCACGTGGAGTAAACAAATATTTCTGTGTCTGCTCAGTCTCCTCTCTCGGACGTGTCTGTGTCCCCTGTTGCTTGTAGCTCCTGCTGCCCCAGGGATTTGTCCTTCATGTGGCATCGACACGCTGGGCCACCAGCACGCTGCCTCTTGGCACTTCTTCAGCTTTTGCGGACATGCAGATTGTTTTATCTCTTTAAAATCCCCAACTGGTATTCTCCAGAGCCAGTGCGATGGGCCCCATTCATCCCCTCTGGCTGGGCCACTCACCCGCCACTAGCCAGCCACTAGCCAGCACATGGAGCTCGTGTCCTTGACAAGGACGGTCCTCACACCCACAGTCTAAATTAACACCATGACAGCCTAGACGGCGGGGCTGTGGGCAAGGCCATGTCCTCAGAGAGGAGTGTGGGTGAACCGATACCGTTCACATCTATGTGATGATGAGTCTGAAATTCCTGCCCAGATAGAACTGCTAGAAAGTTCAGTCGTTGGACAAGTCCAAACTTGAGGAATTTAGAGGATAGGCTGTTGCTTGGTGCATTTTTATTGAATACGCACAAATAGCACCCCTTTTTATTACAAAATCATAAGCATGTAATTCCATAATATAACAACATCACACTCAAGCACACCAGGTGACACTTTAGGTGAAATGTTCAAACTGCTCTCCATCTCGTGGGAGACATTCACATACTCCACCAACCACACTCAAGTGAGCCTTACTTCTGCCAGCCTCTGTATTTATTGAATACTAAACATTTCTAGCCCACGTTTGTTTTAGAAATGGGAATCCAAATGATAAACTTAGGAAAATTTGGTTCTTAACTGTGAAATAACAAATTGGAAATTCTGGTCTTTGTATGGCTCCGAAGAATAAAAATGTTCCCTACTCAATTTTATTTAGTACCTTCTGTATGCCAGCTGCCTAATTTATGCATATTATCTCATTTAATTGTCAAAATAAACTCTTGGAATAAAGGATTGTTTTGCTCAATTTTGCAGAGGGGAAACCGAATCTGAGAGCCTCCGAGTAATCATGTCAAAGCCATACATTTAAATGTATTGCAGAATTAGGACTGAAACCCAAAGCCAGACTCCTAATCCTGAAGTTGGAGAAAGTTTAGGTGTGTGGTTAGGACCCCAGGCTGTGGAGAGAGGCTGCCTGGGTTTGAACTCCTCTACCACTTGAGTAGTCTGGGCGACTCACCTGATGTCCCTGTGCCCCGCCTTCCTGGGCTGTGAAGGGGGCATGGCAGTGGTGGTAAGAACAGCACTGGACACAAGCTGGGCTCTCCAGGAGGCTGACTCTGAAATGGAGTCTGGTGCACGTGATACTTACTGGGGACTGCCCTTGGAGTCAACACCTGCCAGGCTGGGGGCGGGCGAGGCAGGAAGCCCGCTGCCTGAAGGGAGAAGTCAGAAGCAAAGCAGGTGCCAAGCAGCCCTGGCCAGCCTGCTGTTACCTCATCTGTACAGACTTGTATGTGCCTGTCTGTCTCACAAGGGCCTTTAAAGACCTCACAGCAATTCCTTAATAGCTGATACCATGTTATTCCCCATGAGATCAGTTCCCCATGATCTCTGAGGTTTATTTGTAGGCATTTTGTGTAAGTTAGAATCCAAGCAAGGGCCACATAATTTCATTTGGTGGTTATTTCTGTTAAGTCTCTCTCATTCTGTAACATTCCAACCCACTTCTCTTTATTTAAGCCAGTTACTTCCTGGGAAAACTAGATCATTTTCCCTGGAAAATGTCCTATATCCCAGATTTGGCTGATTGCTTCCATGTATCATGTCATTTAAAGTTACTGTATCCTTCTGAGCCCTGCATTACCCACAAACCTGTGGTTGGGTCTAACTGCCACTGAATTCTGGCTCACCTTTAGTAAACGCTCAAGCTGTGCAGTGCACAGCTGGATGTTATAGATAAGACACATTTGATGGGTCATTGTGGTCAGTCCATTCACATATAAATAGAGCTTTCGGTTTCCCTTTGTAAGTTCACGTTAATGTACAGAGCTCTATAAATTATGTGTAAAGTTTTAGAAAGTGAAAGTCGACTAAGCCAATCTGCCAGTGACCCCCGGCAGAGGAATGGTAACAGTGTGGTGAAGCACACGTTATCTGTGAGGTTACAATTTCTCGAAGCTCTGGTTTGGTGACTACTTAAGTATTTTAAGTTCTACAAATTATTTATGATCCCAGCTGCTGTTTCTGTGGGCCCTTTTTGTGGTCTTTTCATAAATTTTAAATATAATTCTAGAGGTTCCCCCTTTGGGCTATTTACTGTGTTTTAGAAATTGGAAGAACAAGTAAATAATATATTGACAGGCCGGGGGGCAAAACAACTCCTGGGAATTATTTCCATCAGGTGGACACCTCTGAGTGACAGGCGGGGACAAAACAGGTGTGAATGCAAACATATTCCAGATGCATGTTCAGGAGAAGCTTTATGTCAGGACACAGGAGCCTGTTCTCCTAGGAGTCTGCCTGGAATGAGGTGGCTCGTTTTGCTTCTGTCATTTTGGTGTGTCCAGTACTAGGCGTGTTGTTTGGAAGTTACTGTTGTTTGTGAAACCAGGAGTCCAAAAAAATGGCTGTTCTTTCATTTTCTGTGATTGATTTCAACTTAGTTCTTTATTTTCATCAAATGAAAAAAAATTCAGTCTAGACACTTGAAATGACTCAGCCGCATCTGTTGTGAGGCAGCACTTCATTGGGATCTGAGACCTGCTCTCCTCCTCCCAACAGCCTCTGTGTGCAGGGGGAGCCTGGGGTGGGGGCAGGGCTGCGTGGTGGAGGGCGTCCCCTGTGTTTGCCTGTTGTCCACGTCAGGGCAGTGAGTGCCCCAGCACTGTTTCCGGACGCTGACGAGGCCGGTGGGTGGACTCCAGGCTTCTGCTGACTCTGCAGCTAGGAGACCAAGGGCACTGGCAGCCCAACTTTTCAGCAGCAGCTGCACGCATGTGGCTGTACCTCCTGCCTGCCTCCAAAACCTGGTGCGAGTGCCCCTGATTGGTTGGTCCCAGATCACATCCTGGCCCCCGGCTGCACAGGGGAAGAGGTCCATCTTCAATTCTGCAGCTCTAGCAGGAACCCTAGAGGAAGCGTGGGTGGGTGTCGAACCAGCCCCGTGTCCATTGCGCAGCCACGGCTGCCTGTGGCAGGAGCTGAGGGAGAAACAGTGGAGTGACCAGGACACAGCACGGGCTCCTTTGGAGGACGGCCGGTAGCTGATCATCGTTAAAGCTGTTACACAGGGTTTAAAACATTTCTTCATCTTAAAATATGTCACGAAAGGCTGGTATCTAAAGAGGGGTACAAGCCATAAGAAATACACACATTTCCTCAAAAAGGCTCCTTTGGTTTTTGTTTGTGCTTTTTGTTTTGTTTTGTCTTTTTACCTGTGTTACATGTTATAGTGTTACTTTATGTCCATATTTTGGTGATGTTTTATATCACTTTTTTCCATTAAGTACTTTATTACATTTTTAAAATCTCTTAATCTATATTCTTTCAGGAAAACAAAATCAAGCCACCCAATCTGACCTTGAAACAAAGGTTCCAGTGCTCTCTGACTCGGGCCCCTTCCACGGGACCCACCGTGGCTCAACACCTTCTACCGCACTCAGTAACCATGGACCACAAGGTGGAGCGTTGGGTCAGCCAGCAGAAGCTCTGCAGCTCCGGGGCTCCGCCTCTGCGGCCGGGCTCTGCTCAGAGCAGAAAGGCCGCCCTGTCTGACCAGGCGCCGCACATACATTTGGAAGCACCGCAGCCCACTGGAGGAAGCGCTCAAGTTGGAGACACACATTTTAGCTCCCAAAGTAACGTGGCCCCAAAACTCATACCAGTCTTCAGAAATCGGCCAGTGCAGATGAACAGAAAGGTCTCAGAACCTGGCGACCTGAGAAGGAAACAACGCTGTACACACCGAGGATCAAAAACGACGTTAGAATCTAAACTGGTTTTGCTTAAAACCAGCGGGATCCAGAATAACAAACCCAATTTAGACCCAGCTATTACAAAAAGATTTCATTGTAACATTCAGATGAATGCTAGGAATTTAACCCAGAAGACTTCTAGACCTCTGCAGGAAAACCAGACCGAGTCCTCTGAAGACGGGACAAAATACCCCCCTCGTAACAGAAAGTCCCCAGCTGTGGGTGTCGGTGGCAGTCAGCCACTCTCTGACCGCTCAGGATTTCCGATGTCGGGTAAGAATTTCAGTGTGGTGAGAAGTGCTGTTGACTGCCAGGTGAATGAGAAAGAAATTTTAACAAGCAAATGCATAGCACAGATTTTGGGGAAAGGACACGAGTCACTAAAAGTGACAAGACCACACATTTTTGAATCCGACACGGAAATGGAAGATGCCCAACCGCCACAGCATCAGTCAGTAAATCAAACTGAAGAAATTGATGTACGTGCCCACAGACCGATAGTGAGTAACACAGCCCACAGGTTCAAACGAAAACTGTGTCAGGAGTCTTCAGAAACTGCAAAGCAGCCTCGTTCCAGTAATACCCGCCATGGCCAATCCAGTTCTTCTATGAGCCAGGTAAGAAAACAGTTTTAATCTGGGGGTATTGGTCATATGGTAGGTTGTGAGAACCCCTAAATGAAGATCGAAAGGATTTTCCCCAGTCATCCAGAAGCACACTGACACCAAAGTTGTTCCTATCACAACTGCAAGTTTATATAGTTAACGTATTAAAAACGGGATTCTTTAATCTGATTACAGCTATATGACTTAGACAAATCAAAACCCAAGAAATCTCCCAGCGTCACTCAGGCTTACCACATGGATGCAGAAGCAGGAGATATCCATCAGGTACCTTAGGTGACACCTTTTGATTTGTTTTCCATTGTGTTACCTGAATTGGAATTGCCAGGTTTAGATGTCTCCAACCTCTTGGTAAGAAGGAGCTACTTTTCTATTCCTCGGAGCCTTGAAATCAGCCAGGAAATAGGAGGTGTTAAGGACAGGACAGCTCTGGAGTCCAGACTGCGCACAGCAGAGGGCCGAGGCGGGGAGAGGTCCTGCTGCGACCGCGTCCCACCCACTCGGTGCTGGGAGCGCAGCAGCCGCTGACTGCCCAGAGGTGCGAGCGAGTCCACCACCACTGAACACACACCAGCGGGGACTCTCACCTAAGACGAATCACCGTCGGTGATGCTTCACTGCAGTCCGGACTGACTCCCAAAGTATTGCAGTGGCGACTAAGGGCGAGCTCAAGATTTAGCTGATAGCGCTGCATCCGCGGCACTGAAGTCAGAAAGCCGCGCATCTGGAAATCACATTTCTTCCCATTCTGCCATCTGTCTGTTCTAAGAACAAGCATACCGCCAAAACATCCACAAACACTTTTTTTTTTGCATGGAACTATTGGAATACTTTCAATTCAAAGTCTTTACGAGCAAACTAGAAAACGTTTTCTTCTTTTTTTCTTCCAAATGCTATTTCTTTTTATAACAAATTGAATTTGCAGCCTGATTTGAGTTAACCAGAAGGCGCTGAAGTCTCCTACATACTTTATCGTGCAGTTTGTGACACCTCACACTTGAATGCTCCCGGTGGGAGCCCAGGGAGAACGTATGTGCCTGGAGCCTCAAAATTTTCACTCTTACAGCAGATGAATTCTGTTCCAGGTTCCATAATTTGTAGAAGCACATCCTTTTCCCACTTTGAGTTACTTAAGACCTAAGACAATCTTTACAATACAAAATCATTCCTATCACCCAGAAGGAATAAGACAATAAGAAAAATTATGGGATATCATTATAGCAACTAATTTCCCTCAAATATAAAATTAATATATGCCCCTATCAAAAATTTGAGAAGTACAAAACAGTTTCTAGAAAAAAGTTTGGAAAACCACCTGTAATTTCTCTTCGCAGAGAAAACCCCTTGGAACGGTGGACAGACGCGCATGCCCTCGGGAGAACAGGAGTTAGGCTCCTTACGCGGCAGTGGATGGGGCCCCCTCGTCCCTCAACAGCCTCATTTCTCATGGCCGCACCCGCGGTCCACGTGAGCATCGTTAGCTGGGCCTGCTCACCGACACCAACGTCCTTCCCAGCTCTCCACCATGGTGACAGTGCCGAGTGAGTGAGCTCGTACGGGTGTCTGCGAATGCCCGTTCATGTGACTGGTTTTGTTGAAAATATCTTCATTTTGCCCTTACTACTTCTATTATTGACATTTATTTGCATTCACTTTTTATTATTGAGAATGTGTATGTGTACATGATGCGTTGGGGTGTCTGCCATATCTTTACGGACTCACTGAATTTCACTTTGCTTTATCACAAGCTCACAGAAATCCCTCAGCAAACGTAAAACCTGTTTCACAGAAGAGCCAGAGCCCGCTGTCATATATATCACCAGGCTTTTGGCGTAGATGTGTCTCTGTTCGGAACTGCTCATCAGCTCGTGCTCTGTGCCGGTTGTGGGTGAAGTGCGGGGCTGCCGAACGGGTGCCGTCAGCCCGGCCCGCTCTCCACCCAGCCTGCGCTCCACCGGGCAAACCCTCCTGGCTCGCAGCAGAGACATGTGAGCCCGGGTGTACTGAAGCAAATGTGGAGAACAGCCTCCTGTTATGAATAAATTACCTAACACGGAAGGAGAGAAGGGACAGACCTGCTCACTAGTAGTGTTCTGGTGTTCACATGTTTTCGGTGTTTAATTTACAAAATGTGATAATTTTTGTGGTAAGATATTTAAAAAATTCTCAATATTCCATTGAAGAAATCATTTAGTTTTTGAAAAATATCAGAGAGCCAAGGTTAAGTGGACTTTGATTTTTCTATTGATTTACTGTTTTGCTACCTCACTAAACCATTGCAATTAAATGCAAAAGTGAACATGAACCCTGCTTCATAACTGTAACATTAAAATTTTTCTCTTGAAATTCTGCCTGGCTGATTTCCTATATAATGTTACTGTAAGCATTTCTATTTTCCAGAATTATCTCTGCATTACAATTATCTTCTCACTTTCATAGAGAAATGCATCTAGTTTAAAGCCCACCCTGAGTGCGCCTTTCCCGTCTGGAAACTGGCATGAGAGGTCATGAGCAGACTGCAGGAGAGAGGGGCCTGTCGCTCTGTGTCCGAGGCTGTGGAGAGAGCACGCGGTGCAGAAGGCAGTCCATGAGTGCGTGTGCGGGCCGCACAGCTGCCGGCAGCCGCACTCGTCCCGCCGCTCCCGTGCCCTGTGCCTCCCAGCGGCGGCCCAGCGGCACGTCGTAGGGGACAGAGGCTTCCACGTTAGTGCACCAAGCAAAATAGTTAGAAGAGAAACTTAGGTAGTGTGCAGTACCTTCCAGTTCTTTAAATAAATATCCTTGACAGCACCTCCTCCGTTCCATGAGCGTCTAAAACTTAGAATGTGTAGTGTAGTGTTTCATTTAGGTAAATGTTAACCTGGATGGCAAAGCCTGCTCGGGTTAGGTTCCGTCTGTTTTGTGGAGTAGAAGCAGGTTTCTTTTTGTCTTACAACATTCATCCTAATGAAAGTTTACCCCCAAAACTATGTATCCATGCATACGTCCACGTGTTTATGATGGACCGTGGATGGGTTGACTGTTCGTTTACTGTCCCTGTTGAGGGAAGCAGCTTGGGACCAAATTTCTGTGTTAGGGTTCACTGGAGAAATCGAGGAAGACTTTGGCTCACTTGAAGATTATGTTTCAAAAGCCAGGATAGTTCTGAATTCAGTTAGGGAAACTGAGTGGCCCTTCCATTAGGTTTGGGTGATCTGTGTGCGTCACGGACACCCTCTGCCCTGCCCCAAACCGTTCATGTTTTCAATTGTGTGTGAGTTTTCTAACCATTATGATTTCCGGACCATACAGAAATGATCTCTATGTTATCAAGACTCTCATAAGAGCAGCCATTGCATTTAAACCCGTGGCAGTCTGCCAGAATTAATGCAGGACTCATCTTCATAGAACCACAAAAGTACTTTTCATGTGTTATTCCTATTTTAAACTTCACAGTATCTATTGTTTACTGTACTTGTTTTTAGTTGTATTTTTATGTTATTATACATTATTTGTATTTACTATATTAACAATATTACTACAACAAACAGGGAAGAAGTATGGGTTTGTCATTGATTGCCTTTTATTTGACCAGCTCACTAACCAGATTTTGCTCTTTTTTGAAGTTCTTGTCGTCTGGTGCTATGCTGGAACCACCAGTGTGTTAGATAATTTACTCATATTTAAGAATGGTCAGTATTTACAAGGGTTTGGAGATGTCACAGTCATTATATACATATGCTTAAACTGTGTTGTATCCTACATAGTATCTTTTTTTAAATAAAAAAATAAAGTTATGTCAAATAGATGTATTTCTCGTATGTCACAGTGACAGGGATGGGAAGGCTTGGGTACATTCCAGGTTGTTACCTCTTGTCTCCCCTGTTTCATGTGTATTTGCTGAGGGAACCACGTGACCTAGTTGGAGCCTCCAGGACTCCACAGGCCTTTCGTTCCCAAATGCCCTCGTCTTGCATCTGACTGGTACGTGTTCGATGTCCGCCACGTGCCAAGCACTGCTGCAGACGCTCGTGATGGACCAGTGGACGCTGACCCAGTACCCAGTGGGGAGAGATGGAAAACAGACACGGTGAGTAACGGGTGTGATGTGGCAGAAAGCGACGGGTGTAGGGAAGAAGAACAGGGCGACGTAAGGGAGGTGGTTAAGGGGCGACCTTGGGCAAAGACGTGCAGGGAGGGGTGAGTCGGCCACACGGCCGTCTGAAGGGCGAGCTGTCCAGGCCTCGGGACAGCCGTGTGCCCAGGTTGCCCAGGGTGACTGGGAGAAAAGCTGGTCATACCGGCGTGGCAAGGACGTTTCCCCTGACTGAAATTGGGCTGAGACCAGAGAGTGACCTGCTCTGACTTAGGTTTGGACGGGCCATTCTGACCGCGGCACTGAGCAGAGAGCAGGGCTGGTGGAGAGGCCTGGCAGCGGGCCTGGCCGGGGCAAGAGTGTGGGTGCACTGGGGAGGTGGAGGGGGTGAGAGCAGGCCGAGACGCTGGGGCCCTGGATCGAGTCACCGAGAGAAGGGGCGGGGTGGGGCCTGGTGGCAGGAAGACAGCAGGAGAAGAGGGGCAGGTGTCGGGGCCGGAGGAGGGCTGGGCCCTGCCGGGTGTCCCAGTGCGGCGGTGACGCTGTCTGAGGGGTCCTTTACTCCGCATGACAAGCGCAAGCCTGCCTGGGCGTCAGGGAAAAGGGGGAGCAGATGGGGGTGGCGATCCGGGGTGCAGACCACTCCTTTGGGAAGGGTCGTCAGTGGGTGTCTCCTTCCTTCCTGTCACTGGTTCCTTAGCAGGGGTCCCTTCCCACTTCTCCTTCCATCACCCCCTTCTTGGCTCGGCAGCCTCCCGTGGCCTCTAATCTTTCTTACATCTTTGGACCCGATGCCTCTGCTTCCGTTGCTGGTTGAATGCACCAAAGACACGTTGGACAAGGAGCACTGGGAGGAAGGCCGTCCCGGAGAGACGCCTCGAGCCTGGGCAGGACGAGCGTCGGGTCCTCAGACGCGCTGCACAGCCTCCCTGCCGACGCTGCTTCCACACTGCACAGCCTCCGTGGTGCCGATGTCCGAGCAGGGTTCACCAGACACGTCTGCATGTGCACCTGCACGGTGTCGGTCATCTACACAACTTCTCCAAAGCCCTGCTTCACATTCAGAGTTCTCAGGCTCTGTCTCCTTTCTGCTGTCACGAAGACTCGTTTGCTCGGGGACATCTCCCATCTGACTTGGGGAGTCTGGAGGTGGAGTGGGGGTCTGGGATGATGCGAGCAGCTAACGTATTTG